CATTAGACGAGGTTAACTGCACGGCAAGACGGGCGCATGCGCAGACGTACATTCAACGGGCTAGGGCGCGCACTGGGCCTGCATAGCAACGGCAACAGCACCAGGCACGGCTTCAGGCCGGGCGACATGGCGACAGACCTACCGAGTAAGGTCTAATTTGGGCACAAATAGCACAGGCCGTGCACGGTTGATGGGGAACGCACCGCGGGCGGGTAGATTAAAAGCGCAGGCAAGGAGACAGTCGGCATCACGTCAAGGCTGAAGGCTGCCGTTGGCGGTAAGGGTTTGTTTGCTTTTGTTTCTTTTGTTTCGCTTTTTGTTTGTCTCACTGCCCATCCTCGGATGTGGCCTTCGAGCAGGGGTGCGCCGTGTGACGTAGGAAGCCAGCCCTTGACGGGCTGGTTGTCCCATGCCAGTGCTTAAAATATCAATCGGTTGCATATTAGAGGGGCAAATAGCCCTCGGTGGGCTCACGTTAAGACACACACGGGTGCTAAGTTGCCAAGGCCAAAAGAAAACACACGTGCAACCCCCTGCCCGATACCTACAAATCCAACCCATCTTCGGATAAGGGTTGACAGCAGAGGAAGATGTCAGAAGGTTTCTATCCAGTAGGTAAGACCGTAGCAGTTAAACAGGGTATTCTTGTCGCGGAGAACGGCGAAAGCAGATTAATTGTGACTTGGTGGTGTTGAACTCCGGACCATGACAGGAGGCATAGTTACAGCAAATGTTCAACATGATTCTTAGAGCAGAGGGACAAGGAGTGAGTAAAACAATGTCATCAGCGTAACATAAACACCCAGCAAACAAATTTTTCCAATAACAACCAACACCACTTTCAACCAATTCAGACAACAAACCATCCAGATACGCAGCAAAAACAAGAGGAGAGAGAGCACTTCCCTGACGAACTCCATTAGAAACCCTAAACGAATCAGAGAGACAGGAACCCCAACGAACACGACATTCTTGAGAGCTATACTAAGACAACAAGAAACGAACAACGAGCAGTGGAAGGCCACGCTCTAGGAGTTTACGAAATAATATGTTATGATCAACAAGATCGAAGGCGTTAGAAGCATCTAAAAAACAACCATAAACATAAGAACCATTGTTGATGTAGCATGATACAACATTCTTAACCATGCCCGTACAAAGAGATGTAGAGCTGTGGGACTTGAAGCCAAACTGCAGGTGACTACTGGTAAAAAACTCAGAATATTTATGAAGAATCAGCCACTCCAGAACCTTGCTCAATGTAGAGGAAAGAGCAATGGGACGATAGTTGGAACTCACAGATGTATCTTTGTTGCTCTTTGGGACAGGAACAAGAATCGAATCCCGCAATAGTGGTCCATGACGGACAATTGAGGTATAGAGCTGCGAGAGCGGTAAGGCAATTACAGAGCGGGATAGCTTTAGGTGTTCAGAGATGACATAGCCAGCACCAGACTTTTTCGACTTTAGCTGACCAATAGCACCAATAATGTCATCTTCCGTAAAACATAGATCGTCAGACACAGAAGAGAGTGAAGATTGAATCTTTAGAAGTAAGGGATTATAAGAAGGAGATGAATGTTTATTTAGAACACCTGAAAACCTAGATGAAAATAAATCTGCAATGTGTTGGGCATTTGATGTACCGTCTACGCTCGGTGCACAAGACTTCTTGACGTGATTTAACCGCCTAACCTCAGACCAGAACTTATCTTTCTTCCTTGCAGCAAAGGCACAGGCAAACTTCTCACGGATAAGAAACTCTTTTCTGCGCTTTAGACGGCGAACGGCATACTTGAACCTCTTCTTAGAATTACGCTTGATGTTGAAAAGTACACCAGCTGAAGGACAGCCAGCCTCTACCCAAACCCTATGCCAAAAAACGGACATCTCCCGGAGCTTGCCAGTACCATCTTTCCAACCAGGTAGTTTAGGGAGAGAAGCACAAGAGGAGGCACAGGAAGGGAAGCAGAGAAGGGAACAAGATTCCAGAGTTGATACAAGTGAATGAGTATATGAGTCAAGAGCTTTGTGATGAGCTGAGCAGTCATGGATTGAACAGGTTGCAACTTCTTGTGGGAAACTGGGGAGATGTTTGGAGACCATGTCACAAAATCGATCAGCATCAGCAGAAGTTACCTTGGACCAGTTTATCTTTGGAGGAGACACAGAGGAACAGGAAGGAGAACATGGGGGAGTATATGGCTCACAGGTAGCACTGATGACAAAAAGAAGAGGGGAGTGATCAGAGAGGTTAGACCCAGAGTGATTTGCAGATATGTCGGAAACCAAGGAGGAGCAAGACTGAGAGCATACAATGTGGTCAATCCAAGAGCGACTCAGGTCATCATCTCGTTCATAAGTATACGTGATAGAACTTCTATGACCTACATCAACAGACAACATATCTAGTTCCAGCATAAAATCAGACAACAACTTTTCAAGTGGACCGGAGCGACCAAAGTCCACATTGAAGTCGCCAACTAGAAAGATTCCAGTGTGGAAGTGAGCATCGATGAGCCCATGTATCTCACCAAGCGTGTTAAGGTAATCGGTAAAGGAGGAAGGATGATTATCATAAGGCATGTAAACACTGAACATGAGAAAAGATTGTCCATCACATGTGTTAATTCTAATACCACAGAAACGATTTGAGAATGTAGGGAGACGAGAAATTGCCAGTGACAGACTCTTTCTGTATAAAATAGCGCATCCACCAAAAGGACGGCCAGAATGCAATGAGAAGCTATCCATACCACTTACACTAACTGAGAGAAAATCATCACTGATAGTATTTATTTTATGAAGTTCATCTGTTATCAGCCACTGTTCTTGAAGAAAGCACAAATCAGTGGAATGAAGAATAATTTTTAGGAAAATTACACTATTATTCCAACCACAACAGTTGTAACTACAGCATCTAAGTGGAGTCATTATGGTGTTCAGATCCCTGTAGGGCAGTAGAGGTAGAGGAGGAGTGAGAGAGAGCAGGAGAAACAGAACGTGCTATTGTTAGATCAGTGGGTGGATTCGAAGAGCTACTAGAGGCTACAGGAGAGACACCTCTGAGCTGATGGTCAGTCTTTGATGTTTCAGCGGAGTGAGTGGAACCAGAGCTGGCAGGGACTGAGGGTGGCTTCTCAGAAACAGACACCTTGTCCTTGGGGAAAGGGTGCCCTGCCTTCCGTCGAAATCGATGGTCAGGTGGAACATCCTCACGTAAGAACAGGTGGGGAGTTTTGTAGTCTCTAAGTTTATGCTTTTGGATTAAGATGATCTTGCGATCCCAAGCCGCAGCAAACTTTATCAGTATAGGCCGAGGACGTTGGAAGAAGAAGCAGAGTATTTCCAAGACGAAAGACATCATTTATATTCACGGATTTTCCTGTCAGGTGCTCAAGAAGCTCATCTACATCGGACTTAGCTCCAAATCGAACCACTTTCAGGAAGCCCAAAAAGAACAAAGATTACAGCTCTTGAGTCAGAAGGTTTAGAGTTATTTGCAGGCCGAGCTCTAGTGGGGAGGGAGAGAGTAACATGTGATGGTTGTGCAAAAGCTGCCTTAGCATACGAAAGGGCGGGAACTGATTCTTGAGGAGGTGTACACGAAGTAGAAAGCATCTTCTCAAGACTTTCAACTTGGATACCAAATTCTGTAAAACCTTAGTGTTCTGCTGGACCTGTTTGCAGTGGATCAAGAGACAGAGGAGGCATGAGGAGGAGATCATTGGCCTCGCAGTAATGGGGGATTGAAATCTGAAGAGTCAAGTGTGTCGAAAGCTGAATATAAATCTTCTATGTTGGCAGTGAGCTGATACGCTCTTGTCAGAGTCACGTCTAGCTTGGATGGCAGATAGCAGCCATAAGATTTCTCCGACAGAACAGATGCCCAAAGTTCTTGGCACCATCAATGGCAGCGCAGCGTGAAACAATCTGCAACTACTCTAAGCTATCTTTGTCACTTTGAGACGAAAGCCTTAATAAAAGACAAAACGGTTGACTAAGTGTGGCCTAGCGACTGAGGTGGCGACGTCGAAACTTACCGTGGAAGACATGAACCAACAGGGAAACAGGTGCAACGAAACTCATGTACGACACCCCTGCTGGTACTTGCTACAAGGTCGAGTTGAAACTGAGCTGAGGAAGAGTAGGGGTTTTAGGTGCAAGTCAAGTCATATTCACAGAGTGGCCTCCTTGGTGCATAATGAAAGCCCATGCTAAGTTTTTCTACTTTTCCTCCACCAAGTACCATCAAACAACCGGGGTGAGAGTGCCGGTCATTTAGCCAATTGCATTTACCCAAGGCTTTCTTTGATTCCATCAATTTGTTTGGCATAAAGTTGCCCAGACACGGCTACCACATACCACATAATATACCATCCACTATTATCTTCAACAAAGGAAGGCTTCAGACCGGGTTGAGCAAAAGACGTTTGTCCCCACTTCTTGTGGACATAGTACGTAGTAGCTACCACTATTAGGTCCAAAGGAACCGGCAACAAAATAGAACAAACAACAACGAGCTTCACTAACGTAGTGAACTTCTGGAGGCGCCCGCATATACACAGCAACAACAGCACAGCAGAGTTCACCAAGCAAAGACAAACTCATGAACAACACAAGACCCTCACAGTGACGATTGCCGTGCTGACGTCGTAGCCGCCAGTCGACGGTCGGAGGACGCCAGTTGCGATAATTACGTCCGTATCACTGTAAAAACAAGGGTGTCAGGATGACACCAAAAAATGGAGTGTCAAGTTCCTGTGCGAGTTGGACACCTACCTAAAGGGTGTCAATACAGTGACACCCTTTAGGGGTGCTACCTACACACCAGATGATGTCATGATTGCACCATGCGAGGATTCCTGTAGCACCGCGTTTTGTATCATTTCCACATGTAAATCAATATTTGATCAGTGTATAAATTGGAAGTGAATAAGGATGATAAGTGACAGTGAACAAAGATAAGTACAAAATCAATTAAGTGTCCAAAACTCTCTCCATCCCATCATGTACAAGAACAACAGACATGGGAAGTTTTTGCGATGATTTTAAACCATAAACATACTTTTCTAAAAAAAGGAAAATGTCCTTATACGGAGGAAAAGAAATATTGAAGATATAATAACACGCAAAACAAACATGAATAGAGGTTGACAAAGTATTGACAGGTAAAATATTATCAGTTTCAACAATAACCTTTACATCAGCTATATTGTCACGTGTAACGCCAAATGCAGCAATGCATGGAGATGTGGTGTTGAGGCCGGCAATGCATTCTTCAATATCCAATGATTCCCCCTACACAAACAAATGCAGATAGTACTATCATACATGTCTCGTCTCAATGTACACAAGTAATTACATACATTGGCGAGGGAGGGTTACCGTGCCCAAGAGGGCTCTAAGCGCTTTGCACACAGCTCTGGTTGTGGTTGTTGGCGAGGGAGGGTAAGTTGTCCGCTTGTGGCCCTAGTTTCTCTACAGGCACTGTCACATACTGTGCGAAATGGCGCATCACACATTGAAAAGCCTGCGCTACATGTGCTAACATATGCGGGTGTCATCTACTGCTGCTTATATTCTGTCTTCATACTTTCGTGCTGCTAATATACATAAGCTGCTCTCTGTACTACAGCTGGTAGGTTTGTGTGTTATTGGCTCACTCTCCCTCGCCCATAATGTCACCTACCAGTATTGGCTCACTCTCCCTCGCCCATAATGTCACCTACCAGTATGTATATAGGTATATTATTATGTGCACAAGAAATTATTACACAAACCTCAAAGATAGAAATAAGCGGCTGTCCACTCGACCGGTTAGTAGACAATAGAGCCTAGAGCAAGTCCAGAGTGTAAGCTGCAGTTCTATCTGCATGGTGCAAAATGTGCAAAAGATATGTAGCTGATTAAGTGCAACGTATGCACAAAACTTATATATACACCTACCATCATTGTCACACTCCTCAGCATGATACTGATGCAAAAGAATTTTGAGTGATTTTTTCTGCTCGAGGGGTGCATATTTGAACACAAGCTTTTCATACTTCCCCCAATTTTCCTTGAACTCGCACTCTTCTGCCCCAGTGAGCGAACAGAACTCGTTCAACATCTGTACATAGAATACACACATTAACAGCAGTTCTAGTACATGTACATTATACTCACAATTCGTGAATCGGAAAGGCAAGGAAACTTTTCAAAATCTCGCTAACAGATGGATTCTCCTCGCGAATCCAGGTACGGCGAAGTTCCGCAGTCTCCTCAAGCACGGTCAGCATGCTAGCCAACGACCACTTCTTTGGCATGAAGGACCGCTGGAGAAAGCTAACATGCCTGTCATATTCAGCAGTATCAGATGCAGATGGTGATGCTGGAGTTGGGCCAGGAATCTTCGCTCTCTTTGATGGAGGAGGAACTATGATACCTGCTTTCTGTGCACGGTTAGGACGGCGCAAATTTTTAAACTTTGTGCGTAGTTTACTTCTCCAAGATCCCTACGTATTACACAGATATGTTAGGCATAAACATCAAATGTACTACTTACATATCCTTTGTCGACAGTGTCCCGTAGTTTTGGATGCTTCTCGATAAGCCCGCCTTGAGACTGTGTCAAGATCATGTGGTGTTGGGCGGGATGTGTGCATCAACATCAACACAGAATGGACGATCTCTACACGGGCACTCTTTGTGAGAACACCTGTTTCAATTGCCTTCGTCGTAGGGGTTGAAAATCTAGTTGGTAGTGCCAGCCCTTCAGCCCAATCCAACTTAGGTCCCCTGGAAAAAGATGTATTGTGCATGTACTAAAATTTTACTCACAGGCAACACATGCATGATCAGTACTACCACAAACATCCTCTACTGTACATATTAAAATTCGACACCAGGTTACACTGTGCAGATACAGAGCACATGCTCATACCCAGGTGAGGAAGGCTCTCCATGATTAATCTCACAAACATCTTTATTACACCTGCACATTGCAAACACATTTTAGTATGCCAGGCAATACTTGAAATGGGTTAATACCTTTCAGGAAGAGAATCATCATCTTCCCTAAATATACAAAACATATACGAAGTAAAAAAAACTCAAACAAAGAACGGGAACTATAATATTATAATAAAGCCGAGCGCACTGGCTGAAGGCAGAGCCGACAAAGCCGAGCGCACTGGCTGAAGGCAGAGCCGACAAAGCCGAGCGCACTGACTGAAGGCAGAGCCGACAAAGCCGAGCGCACTGGCTGAAGGCAGAGCCGACAAAGCCGAGCGCACTGGCTGAAGGCAGAGCCGACAAAGCCGAGCGCACTGGCTGAAGGAAGAGCCGGCAAAGCCGAGCGCACTGGCTGAAGGCAGAGCCGACAAAGCCGAGCGCACTGGCTGAAGGAAGAGCCGGCAAAGCCGAGCGCACTGGCTGAAGGCAGAGCCGACAAAGCCGAGCGCACTGGCTGAAGGCAGAGCCGACAAAGCCGAGCGCACTGGCTGAAGGAAGAGCCGGCAAAGCCGAGCGCACTGGCTGAAGGCAGAGCCGACAAAGCCGAGCGCACTGGCTGAAGGCAGAGCCGACAAAGCCGAGCGCACTGGCTGAAGGCAGAGCCGACAAAGCCGAGCCCACTGGCTGAAGGAAGAGCCGACAAAGCCGAGCGCACTGGCTGAAGGCAGAGCCGACAAAGCCGAGCGCACTGGCTGAAGGCAGAGCCGACAAAGCCGAGCGCACTGGCTGAAGGCAGAGCCGACAAAGCCGAGCGCACTGGCTGAGGAAGAGCCGGCAAAGCCGAGCGCACTGGCTGAAGGCAGAGCCGACAAAGCCGAGCGCACTGGCTGAAGGCAGAGCCGACAAAGCCGAGCGCACTGGCTGAAGGCAGAGCCGACAAAGCCGAGCCCACTGGCTGAAGGAAGAGCCGACAAAGCCGAGCGCACTGGCTGAAGGCAGAGCCGACAAAGCCGAGCGCACTGGCTGAAGGCAGAGCCGACAAAGCCGAGCGCACTGGCTGAAAGCACTGTTGTCCATGCCCAAAGATAATCATGCACACATTGCACGAATGGACTTACGAATCTGTAGACGATACAGCAGACGATAGGGTTGATGGAGGAGTAGGAGTTGCAGAGTCATCAACTCTACAGCATAATTGTCACAGTAACATTGCATGAACTGACATCCACTTACAAATCTGCGGAGGTAGTATCAGTCAGGGAACGACGTGGACACATCCATGTCCGCGAAACGGATGGTGTAGAAGTATACTTCTCACTTGCAACAGTTGAGGGGGTATTAGGTGATGTGCTGCTAGGAGGCTGGGTAAAGAACGGATCGGTACGTAGGTACACCGGTAACACCCACCCACCCACTTACAGTGTCCAGTTTCACAAGTGTTTCCGATATCAACCGCTTGATTTTCAAAACGGTCGCCAAGGAGTGGAGCTATTTCACGCAGATTTTCATCATTTAGACTCAAAAACACTTCCCCATCAATCTTGTGCTCAAGGATGTTGTCGAAGATGCTCTCCGAGAGAGAGAGGGAATTTCCTCCTTGAGACGCAGACGTAGAGTGGTCGGTGAGAGCCCGTCAAACCTTCGTGCCATCTCGGGAGGAAGAAATCGTTTCCGTCCGGAAAATGCGCGTTTACGGGATTTAGCGCGAAACGTGATTGGCAGGGGTCGTCGGGGCAAGGGGGGGAGGAGGGAAATTGCGGATGGCGTTATTTGGAATAATCCATCCATGGCTTTCCCGTGCCCATACTGCGCTGAAGCATACTGTGCACCTTCTGAGGAACTTCTTATGACTCATATACGAATAGTCCATGCAAGTGATCCGAATTTTTGGATTCAATGCATGTGATGTTATTGTGTGTACATGGTTTTACTGAATAATGGGCGTAATGTGTACATGAATGTATAACATGCAGGCAAGAATTCCAGCTGTACACTACCTCTGTGGAACTCAACCGCTGCTCCTCCATCTACTTCATTTTTTAGGTGTGGATATAATTTTGTATGTATGATTGTACATGTTTACATAGCAGGTTGTACATACTTCTGGTGTTTTCTTGCCAAGCTTCATTGTGTGAACACATTATTCTGTCATTTGTGAGTGCGCGCTGGGAACAAACTTATATATTATACAATTTTGGCAGTGCTATATATTATATAATATACATATGTACCACAATGTTGTAAGCTAATGCACTTGTATAGAGGTATGGTTCGTCAGATATCTGTTTTGTAGGGCAAACTGGGTGAAGGTTCATAGATATCCAAATACCAGACACCATGTGCATTGGTTGTGGGACGATCACATGAAGATGATGAGCTACAATTTGGACATGTCGTAAATGTGTTAGTGTACTCTAAGCAATTTTTTTTTTAGTTTGAGCTTATGCATGTGCAGTTTTGTGAACATTACCATGCCTATGCATTATCACTCCCACCTCTTTCCTTGCGGGAGAAATTTTTGATTGAACACAGAACCTTGCCCACTTATCACCCTTATGGACTGTATCATTGTCACTTATCAAACAATACATCAGTACAATACACAGTTTTAAGGAGCAATATATACATTATAAAGTTTACACAAATTAATGATTATTGTCTACATTTTAGCATGCGGCTCTTTTTCTTGCTGCTTGAACCATTTTTCCGCCATGAGTGTCACCCTCAATGAGATTCCTCCAAAAGTGGGACAGGACACTCCACAGCCTAAACAAACAACAGCCTCGAAACGAGAGTTATCCATCACCGATGATCTCTTTACTGCTACTGAGGGAAGTAGCTACTTAGGGAAGCATGAAACTTAGTTGCTGCACATAGACCAAAAAAACCTATGCGATACTGGCACTGTGCAAAGAAAATACTAAGTTGCACCGAATTTTACACTAGCATAATCAATGCCTGTCCTCCCTTTGGGAAATCAGGATGACACACCTTTATCATCGCATTCCATCATCATCAATGGCTCAGACCACTTCAAGTAGTTTGAGATATGACTCCAATTATTGCCCCCTAAGCAACTTTCAGAGATGTGCCACTAAAAAGTAAATGAGCTACTGAATGTACAGCTATAGTTACAATTCTCTTTCATTGTGTTGCATGGGCTTCATTTCGATCCAATTCTTGTATTCCACATCACCTTCTTCCTGCAACTGCAGAGAGGTAGCTACCTGTTTAGCTCACATAGCTATATACAGAGCTCAGACAAGTGTGTGAGTCACAGCATGGTTGGAAAAGATGAGGCTATAGCTACTACCTTGTGGTGTCTGGGTGATGAAGAATGGAGCCTGGAGAGCAGCAGCAGTACCTGACCCAGCAGGAACACAGCAACAGAGATAGTAGCACCAGTCCCAGCACCACCAGTCCAAAGTCTTTGAGAATCTACCACAATCAACCACTCCACTCAACATTATGTAACAGAGTGTATGTTGATTAGCTACTTCTCTCACCTCTTCACCTTCCATTGGCAGATTGATGATGGATCAAGTAGCTAGTCAGCCTGGTTATGACTGTGTGGTCAGTGTGTCTCTGGTTACCTAGCTACACTGGGTCCCAACTGTTGTTGGTTACTGAAGACAAGCATTGATTGTGCATTACATAATAACCTACAGATCCAGCATGCAATCAGGCATGCTTGTCTGGTATTAGTTGTTGCCTGGGCCTTAGTGTGAGATGGGATTGGAGATTTGTTGGCACAAGCGCTATATTCACATATTATTATTGTGGCAAAATACCTTACAATTAATCAAACAGCAAAAAAATCTTAGGAATAGCTATTAACTAATTCTTTGTCCTAATGGAGGTTCGTGGGATCAGTTAAGCAACTGCTCCACTTCTCTGTGACTGTTAGCTCTGGCCTTGTCCAGAGCTCTTTTGCCATCCTGTATACCACGACACATTACCACACATCACAACAGGCATGGAGAATGTCAATAGAGGTGACAGTCCGGCTATACCTGATCAGGTGTGTCAGTAGCTCCAGCTCTCAGCAGTAGTTTGACAACCTCAGAGTGACCGTTCCCTGCTGCAAAATGTAGTGCTGTCGGTCCAAGCTGTAAGATTGTGAGGACATAATAGAAAGCCTCATTGGCAAAACTGGCACAAAACATTTGCAAGGCTTTCAGCCAGTACTTCGGTTCCAGGAGGGTGCTGTATGGAGTTGCAGCCTCCACCATTTTACAATGGGTGTTTATGGATTTTGCCAGCCAGTGGTCTTGATGCCAAACTTTGTCCAAAAGACACAACTTCAACCGAGTAGCTGACCTTTTCTTTGCAGTTTACATCGGCTCCTAACTCCAACAGTCTCTGGACAGTTTTAATGTGTCCCATCCTGCAGCTATCATCAGAGGAACACTGCCATACTGAATAATAATCAGAGTAGTGCTGTAAAAGCTTTAGGTCACCCTCAAATGTTGTTCTGCTTGGTTATTATGCTGTAAGATGGCCAGTGAGAGATTGGGACTTCACGTTGTGTCTGCCAAAAAGGCATAATTAAACCCTTGGTCAATACTTTGAGTGTGACAATGTGCTAGAAAGAGTTCATTCAGTGGAGAGGCACACTCAATGAGTCTGACATCAGTTTCACAACTACTATTACTGCTGAGGAGGACACTGTGTGTATTAATGTATACCTCAGTGGTGGCCAGGTGGATGTCAGCTCCTGCCTGGACTAGTAGGTCCACTACATCTGTGTGGCCATTCCAGGCTGGCTCCATACACTGGACTACAACCATTCTGCAAGCAAAGAGTAACATTCTGTGTCACTAAAAGATTTGGTCTCTCTACCTCCTATTCCTAAGAAAAAAAACCCCGTCAACCCCCATGGTGGCATATATGCATACATCAAAACATGTGGTGTTAAACAATACACTAGTAATCTCAAACAACCACTTATCATTATGAGTCATGCATGCAGACATGCGATCAAAAATAATTTGTATAGCTGAACATATTATTATGGTGTAAATATTAAAGTCTTGTTGTGTGAGTGTAATCCACAATGATGATGTGACAGTCAGTTATCACCTTGTTCTGGTGGTTGGGGTTTGCTCCTAACTCCAACAGTCTCTGAACAGTCTCAGTATGTCCCTTTGACAGCAGCTACCCCCAGAGGAACACTGCCATACTTTATGAATATGTAGAGACAACAGAAGAGAGAGTTCATTCAGTGGAGAGAGACACACTCAATGAGTCTGACATTAGTCAGTCTCACAACTACTATTACTGCTGAGGAGGACACTGTGTTTTTTAGAGAGTCGGTAGACTCTCTATATAGGGATGACACGGGTGAAATCTCACGTGATCCACGTACAAAACGACAAAAAATTCGGTGAGAATCACTCCCTAGGCCTTGAAAACATACTAGCAATAGTCTACGGGCCCATATCTACTAATACATGTCCCCCAAGACCTCATACCCACCTTCAGTCGTCCACGCGAGAATTCCATCATACGCGATTTCTGATGATTTTCGTGTCATCACAATAATTCTTCTTCTTCTTCTTCTTCTTCTTTTAGACCCGCTTTCTCCTTACTGGAAAAAGTTGAAGCGCTGATTTTTTCACTGAATGTCTCCAATTTTGCCGGAGGTGTGCATGGACATCAAGCGATCGTTTCTTTCTTGCCGCTAGTCACTACGGTAGATCATTGAGCTCTTTCACTGAACAACGCTCAGCATCAGAGAGCCACGCGCATGCGCCAGGCAGGGGCGTTGTCCAATGCGCTTGCGACCAGGCGAGTTGGCAGACCTGCAGAGGAACTCTCAGCCTCCAGTGCCTTCTGTAAGTAAGTGTGCACCTTTCAAACTGACTAGCTTGCTGTTGATTTGCACGAAGAGCAACTTGGAAGAGTCTGAGCGGTGTTACGCGAGCCTCTCGGGGCGCTCAGTCAAATGGGCCTTCATTGTTTGTCCCCCCAGGTTGTAGCCTGATTACCAAAGCTTGCACATGAAACCACAACCATGTGCAATAATCTAATTACATCCTTGTTGAAAAAAATACACGAAGTGAATGCGGTATCTAGCCCCTGCTTCAGGCACTAGCAGCCCCATTAGCTAGCTACTACTTTCAACAGTTACAATTTGCCTATGGTAGCCTATCTACAACATACCCATGAGCATCAGAGTGACTGTAACAATAAATGCAGTGTTGTCATAAACTGTTAAAAATAGTGGAAACAAGTGGAAAAATCATTTATTCAAAATGAAAGGGGGATATAGGGATGGCTTGAAGCACGAAAAAGGAAGAAACAAGGGGTCATTACACAGCAAAGTTGCACAAAGCTACATATGACACCATCACTATTATCTTTGTTTTATTGTTTATAAGCAAAGTTTAATTAATATTGTATGATGACTGAGAGTAAGATCAAAGGAATTCCAGCTAGTCCAAACAACGTACACGCGTAGTGAGCGCTTCCTGCTGAGTTTACGGGTAGTTATACCATAAAGAGGCCATACGATTTCCCCATACTTTAGCTGTATGTCAAATTATTTGCATAAACCACAATGGGTATATGGTAGTTATACGATAGTAGGAAATTGGCAGCGTGTAATGCAATTAGGGGGCTTTCACACTCTTTGTGTGCTGCTGCTTCTTTACCAGAAGGGAGTGTTTTCAGGCTAGAATGGCCAGAAACTGCTCTAGTATAGTCTATACGCGGTCTGAAAACTAGCTAAAAACTGCTTCCCGACGCGTAGGCTCCCGTAGACTGGAACAGTATGTGACTTTCAGCTTTCTTGCTACCGCAACAGCCTGCATTCGAGAGCGCTGGGTATAGCGGGAGAGAAAGCGAGCCAGAGCGGCAGCTACAAAACTCGCGTGGAGTCCAGCAGCGAAAAAATGACGTACTTGTAACGTTGAACTCTCGAAAAAATGGCCATGGCTTCTGCAAAACCGCCCAGCTTGACCAAACTAAAGCGCTTATTGCAGCTGTCTCTCCGCTCCCGATCGGTCGCTAGCTCTCTCCGGCCGTACACTCGAGGGTGTGCGTTAAAAAGAGGGCATTTTGAAAGCTTTTGTGCGATCTCATTGGTCAGAGCCTTACCGCGGGATGTCATCATACAAACGATGGCTTTGCTTGTGGTTTACTGGTTGTACACTCGTGGCTTCAGTTTTGATAGACCACTCGGGCTACGCCCTCGTGCCCTATCAAAACTGGCCACTCGTGTAAAATCAGTAAACCACGCGCCGCCATCGTATAACCTATACTCGAACAAAGATATAGGGATGGTGTCATGTAGCTTTGTGCAACTTTGCTGTGTAATGACCCCTTGTTTCTTCCTTTTTGGTGCTTCAAGCCATCCCTATATCCCCCTTTCATTTTCAAGAAATGATTTTTCCACTTGTTAATGTATACCTCGGTGGTGGCCAGGTGGATGTCAGCTCCTGCCTGGACTAGTAGGTCCACTACATCTGTGTGGCCATTCCTGGCTGGCTGCATACACTGGACTACAACCATTCTGCAAGCAAAGAGTAACATTCTGTGTCACTAAAAGATTTGGTCTCTCTACCTCCTATTCCTAAGAAAAAGAACCCGTCAACCCCCATGGTGTCATACGCGCATACATCAAAACATGTGGTGTTAAACAATCGAGATTCGTTGAAAACTGCACCATGTGAGTTATGTCTTACACTCTCCACCGTATATACCGTGTTAATTGTATGCTTAGTCAAACTTTGCAGTTCCCAATTACTTTTCTCTCAAAGTAAATCCCTGTTTTATGCTATTCCATTAACACACCGTGACCCTCACTTTGAATGTGTGCTGAGAGTTAAAGAGGCATTGTATCTGTGTTGCCTTTCTTACCTTTGCACAGATGTTGACATCAGCTCTCTTCTCCAGCAGTAGTCTCACTACTGCCTCATGACCTTCAAGTGAGGCCTCGAAAAGTACAGTTCGTCCATTCTGTGTTGCAAAGTGAGTGTGATAACAATACACTATAGTAATCTCAAAACAATCACTTATCATTATGACATCATGCATGCAGACATGCGATCAAAAATAATTTGTGTATATAATTATATTATTTATGGTGTAAATATTAAAGTCTTGTTGTGTGAATGTAATCCACAATGATGTGATGGTCAGTTATCACCTTGTCCTGTTGGTTGGGGTTTGCTCCTAACTCCAACAGTCTCTGAACAGTCTCAGTATGTCCTTTGGCAGCAGCTATCCCCAGAGGAATATCGCCATTCTTTATGAATATGTATAGAGATAACAGAAGAGAGAGTTCTTTCAGTGGAGAGACACACTCAATGAGTCTGACTACTAATGAGAAGGACACTGTGTGTATTAATCTATACCTCATCAGTGGTGGCCAGGTGGATGTCAGCTCCTGCCTGGACTAGTAGGTCCACTACATCTGTGTGGCCATTCTGGCTGGCTGCATGCACTGGACTACAACCATTCTGCAAGCAAAGAGTAACATTCTGTGTCACTAAAAGATTTGGTCTCTCTACCTCCTATTCCTAAGATAAAGAACCCCGTCAACCCCCATGGTGTCATACGCGCATACATCAAAACATGTGGTGTTAAACAATCGAGATTCGTTGAAAACTGCACCATGTGAGTTATGTCTTACACTCTCCACCGTATATACCGTGTTAATTGTATGCTTAGTCAAACTTTGCAGTTCCCAATTACTTTTCTCTCAAAGTAAATCCCTGTTTTATGCTATTCCATTAACAGTACCGTGACCCTCACTGTGAATGTGTGCTGAGAGTTAAAGAGGCATTGTATCTGTGTTGCATTTCTTACCTTTGCACAGATGTTGACATCAGCTCTCTTCTCCAGCAGTAGTCTCACTATTGCCACATGACCTTCAAGTGAGGCCTTGAAAAGTGCAGTTCGTCCATTCTGTGTTGCAGAGTGAGTGTGATAACAATACGTATTCTTGAAACAACCACTTATCATTATGATGTCATGTATGCAGACGTGCGATCAAAACTAATTTTTGTAACTTAACATATTTATGGTGTAAATATTAAAGTCTTGTTGTGTGAGTGTAATCCACAATGATGATGTGACAGTCAGTTATCACCTTGTCCTGTTGGTTGGGGTTTGCTCCTAACTCCAACAGTCTCTGGACAGTCTCAGTATGTCCTTTGGCAGCAGCTATCCCCAGAGGAACACTGCCATACTTTATGAATATGTAGAGACAACAGAAGAGAGAGTTCATTCAGTGGAGAGACACACTCAATGAGTCTGACATTAGTCAGTCTCACAACTACTATTACTGCTGAGGAGGACACTGTGTGTATTAATGTATACCTCAGTGTGGCCAGGTGGATGTCAGCTCCTGCCTGGACTAGTAGGTCCACTACATCTGTGTGGCCATTCTGGCTGGCTACATACACTGGACTACAACCATTCTGCAAGCAAAGAGTAACATTCTGTGTCACTAAAAGATTTGGTCTCTCTACCTCCTATTCCTAAGAAAAAGAACCCCGTCAACCCCCATGGTGTCATATGCGCATACATCAAAACATGTGGTGTTAAACAATCGAGATTCGTTGCAAACTGCACCATGTGAGTTATGTCTTACACTCTCCACCGTATATTGCGTGTTAATTGTATGCTTAGTCAAACTTTGCAGTTCCCAATTACTTTTCTCTCAAAGTAAATCCCTGTTTTATGCTATTCCATTAACAACACCGTGACCCCCACTGTGAATGTGTGCTGAGAGTTAAAGAGGTATTGTATCTGTGTTGCATTTCTTACATTTGCACAGATGTTGACATCAACTCTCTTCTCCAGCAGTAGTCTCACTATTGCCACATGACCTTCAAGTGAGGCCTCGAAAAGTACAGTTCGTCCATTCTGTGTTGCAAAGTGAGTGTTATAACAATACACTAGTAATCTCGAAACAATCACTTATCATTATGACGTCATGCATGCAGACATGCGATCAAAAATAATTTGTGTATATAATTATATTATTTATGGTGTAAATATTAAAGTCTTGTTGTGTGAATGTAATCCACAATGATGTGATGGTCAGTTATCACCTTGTCCTGTTGGTTGGGGTTTGCTCCTAACTCCAACAGTCTCTGAACAGTCTCAGTATGTCCTTTGGCAGCAGCTATCCCCAGAGGAATATCGCCATTCTTTATGAATATGTTAGAGATAACAGAAGAGAGAGTTCTTTCAGTGGAGAGACACACTCAATGAGTCTGACCTACTATGCTGAGGAGGACACTGTGTGTATTAATCTATACCTCATCAGTGGTGGCCAGGTGGATGTCAGCTCCTGCCTGGACTAGTAGGTCCACTACATCTGTGTGGCCATTCTGGCTGGCAGCATGCACTGGACTACAACCATTCTGTAAGCAAAGAGTAACATTCTGTGTCCTCTACCTACCTACTAGCTGAACATATTATAGTTTAATTATTAAAGTCTTCTTGTGTGAGTGTAATCCACACGATGATGTGACAGTCAGTTATCACCTTGTTCTGGTGGTTGGGGTTTGCTCCTAACTCTAACAGTCTCTGAACGGTCTCAGTATGTCCTTTGGCAGCAGCTACCACCAGAGGAACGTTGCCATTCTTTGTGAAAATGTAGAGACAACAGAAGAGAGAGTTCATTCAGTGGAGAGAGATACACTCAATGTGTCTGACATTAGTCAGTCTCACAACTACTATTACTGCTGAGGAGGACACTGTGTGTATTAATGTATACCTCAGTATCTGTCAGGTGAATCTCAGCTCCTGCCTGGACTAGTAGGTCCACTACATCTGTGTGGCCATACTCACTGGCTACATACACTGGACTACAACCATTCTGCAAGCAAAGAGTAACATTCTGTGTCACTAAAAGATTTGGTCTCTCTACCTCCTATTCCTAAGATAAAGAACCCCGTCAACCCCCATGGTGGCATATGTGCATACACCAACAAATTTCACGTGATCCGCGTACAAAACGCCGTTGAGAATGACTCTGCAACTCCATACACACCCTCCTGGAACCACAGTACAGTACTGGCTGAAACCCTTGCAAAATTTTGTGCCAGTTTTGGCAAATGAGGCTTTCTATTATGCCCTCACAATCTTACAGCTTGGACCGACAGCACTACATTTTGCAGCTGGGAATGGTCACTCTGAGGTTGTCAAACTACTGCTGAGAGCTGGAGCTACAGACACACCTAATCAGGTATATATAGCCGGACTGGACTGTCACTTCTATTGATAATTATTCACCATGTCTGTTGTGATGTAACAACGTGTCATGGTAATTATACAGGATGGCAAAAGAGCTCTGGACAAGGCCAGAGCTAACAGCCACAGAGAAGTGGAACAGTTGCTTCACTGATCCCACGAACCTCCATTAGGACAAATAATTAGATAATAGCTATTCCTAAGATGTTTTTTTTGCTGTTTGTAAAGTCTTTTGCCACAATAATAATTATTAGAGAGTCGGTAGACTCTCTATATAGGGATGACACGGGTGAAATCTCACGTGATCCGCGTACAAAACGCCGTTGAGAATGACTCCCTAGGCCTTCAAAACTCACTAGCAATAGTCTACGGGCCCATATCTACCTATACATGTTCCCAAAGACCTCATACGCCCCTTCAGTTCTCCACGCGAGACTTCGCTCATACTCGACTTCACGATTTTCGTGTCATCATCATAATTATTCTTCTTCTTCTTCAATCCCGCTATCGAACCAGTTGAAGCGCTGATTTTTTCACTGAACGTCTCCAATTTCGCCGGAAGTGTGCACGGACATCAAGCGATCGTTTCTTTCTTGCCGTAAGTCACTACGGTATATCATGGAGCTCTTCCATGGTCGACACTGAACAACGCCAACTTAACTCAGCATCACAGTAAGCCGCGCGCATGCGCCATGCAGAGGCGTTGTCCCAGGCGAGTTGACAAACCTGCAGAGGAAGGCCTTCTGTAAGTCAGTGTGCACATTTCCAACTGGCTAGCTTGCTGCTAATTTGCACAAGGAGCAACTTGGCCGAGTCTGCGCGGTGTTACGCGAGCCTTGCGGGGCGCTCATCATTGTTTTTCCCCCAGGTTGTTCCCTAATTACCAAAGGCTGCCCATGAAACCACAACCATGTGCAATAACCTAATTACATCCTTCGGGGTGAATACGGTATCTAGTCCCTGCTTCAGGCACTAGCAGCCCATTAGCTACTGCTTTCAACAGTTTAGAGTTTGTCTATGGTAGCCTATCTACAACATACCCATGAACATCAGTGAGAGTGACTGTAACAATAAAATGCAGTGTTGTCATAAGCTGTTAAAAACAAGTGCATAGGCTCCAACTGTCCCGGAATCTCCGGGACAGTCCCGGATTTGTCCCTGGTCCCGGAAGGCTTTGCTATAATTCCCAGATTCCGGTGATCTCGCGACTTGCGCACGCTCACGGGTGGCAGGGCGGGTTGGATTTGTTATACGTCGCGTCGCGAGACCTGCACAACAATCCACCGTAGAATACATCATCATACATTCATCCTGCAGATGTAAAATATCTCAGGTATAATTATACATGTAGCTTGTTGCAGCGAGTGACCGCAGCATGCTCGTACTATGCTTAGCTACAGCTGTTTGTCTCAGCCGTTTAGCCGCCATACTAGCTACGTATTACGTAGCTAGATGGCGGCTAAACGTGAATATCGCGCATGCGCAAGCAAACGAAAAAGGGTGTGGTCATAGGGGTGTGATTATGGTCCCACAAGTTCTTCCGGAGAGGTTGGAGCCTATGCAAGTGGAAAAATCATTTCTTCAAAATTAAAGGGGGATATAGGGATGGCTTGAAGCACCAAAAAGTAAGAGACAAGGAGTCATTACACAGCAAAGATGCACAAAGCTACATGACACCATCCCTATATCTTTGTTTTATTGTTTATAAGCAAGTTTTAATATCAAACAAAGATATAGGGATGGTGTCATGTAGCTCTGTGCATCTTTGCTGTGTAATGACCCCTTGTTTCTTCCTTTTTGGTGCTTCAAGCCATCCCTATATCCCCCTTCATTTTGAAGAAATGATAAATCCACTTGTATAATGCGCATGCGCATTTTCCGTAGCGATAAAATATGGCGACTACCGGCATTAGCCGTACAATGCTGGAAGCGCTCTAGCTTTGCAACAAAGCATTTTCAGAGAAAACCATTAGAAATTTCTGACCTACATTGCCCATTAAGTAGGTCGTATCCTTTGTGAGACGAAAGAACACCCGTGAAGTGAGATGTAGAGTAACAGACAGACACACAGACAGACAGCTAGACCCAACTACCTTACCCTCGCTGCGCATGCGCGCCGAGGGTAACTACACTGCCAAAGGTGGGACAAGCTAAAACAGCAGTGTGTTAGGTAACAGCACTGTTTAGAAGGACAGTGGCTCTTTGGTTGACCGTTAGTTGCCTGTTGTGGCAGATTTGTGAATAACACACAGAGTTTCATTAACATACCGTGACCCTCACTGTGAATGTGTGCTGAGAGTTAGAGGCATTGTATCTGTGTTGCATTTCTTACTTTTGCACAGATGTTGACATGAGCTCTCTTCTCCAGCAGTAGTCTCACTATTGCCTCATGACCTTTAAGTGAGGCCATCCAAAGTGGAGTCTGTCCATCCTCCTGTGTTGTTAACAGTGATACACACCCAAACATGGTATATTAATTTTGTCATACAGCGTATTTCATAACTATTAACTAACTATCCTGTCGCCATGGACACATTCACAGGTACTTCGAACTAAAGCAAGAGGGACATAATTATTTTTACCTCTACAGTAAAACCTCTGATAAGGGACCCTCCAATATAGGGACGACCTCCCTACAAAGGACACTGTGGTTGTAGGTGGTAGAGTACATTCTTGGATGTGATTGGATATCAATCCACGAGCGAGATCGAGTAGCTACACAACACTAGACAAAAACTCATGCTTTTAACGCGGTTAGCTCAGGGTCCCTGTGGCTCTCCAATGTTCGTATAGTTTCCCGGACTCAGCATCTAACTTAAACTTGATGTTTGAACAAACAACACAATGTGTACAGTGTAGGCTTACATCACCCCTGGAGTTAATATTAACACTGGAGGTTCCACTGTAGTGCACAGTAAATGTCCCATAGCTATAGTCAATATGCTAACACTCTGTGTGATTGTGGTTGTAACGTAACACATTGCAATATTCCTGTGTGTAAAAATCGTATCGCCAACCTAACACCAGTTTCTATTAACTAAAGGTCATAATTTACTGCACTAGACCTGTGATCTACACACGGGTTTAGGGGTCACCAAAAAATTCATTCATTAACACATAATGTAGCTGCAACATCATGCTTGTGTATTGAAATTGGTGGTAGCTAGAATGCATTCTTTGATGTGATTGGATTTCGAACCATGAGCAAGATTAAGTACGCAACACTGGACAAAACCGATGAGCGAGATTAAGTACGCAACACTGAACAAAACCCATGCATGCTCTAACGCAGATAGCTCAGTGAGGGTTCCTGCGGCTCTCTAATCTTAGTAGTTTCCTGACTATATAAACTTGTTGTCTGAACAAACAACACAATGTGTGAAGTGCAGGCTTACAATAGTCCTGGAGTTAATATTAACACTGGAGGTAGACAAAAGTCGTTTAACTGCCTCCACATCTCCTCCGAGAACGGCATAGTGTAGTTGTGTTGTTCCCTGTTTGGAGATACATTTCTTTAGCACATGAATGCATTAGCTACCTACTTCAAACTGTGTGGAACTAAGACACCCTCTGTAGACTGCTGTATTCTTCAGTTGACCCAGATGTACATGCTATAATACACTGAGCATATCAACCATGCGAATTGAGTTCTTTTCCGCATGATAGCTACACTTTACTAGACCTTGCATGATAATAGTACCAACTCAGTTCACATGTTCTTTCTTGTGTGTATTTGGTACCACTGCATGTGCATATTATTCCAGTTGTAGCTAGCTCAGTAGTACCTACCGAGCTTGAGTGTAAGGGGTGATGACACCTTACGTTCGAGATATAAATACTTCTGGTCCTCCATGATGTATGGGCTAGACCAATCCCAAGTTACACAAAAAGAGAGGGGCAGTGTTTTTGCTCGAGAGAAAAGCTGGAAAGTTAGGTATGCCTTTAGCTAGCCATAAGGGCACATGCAGTTTCTAATGGCTAGAGTAACCTCTCAGTGGATTGGTTGTCTCGCCGCTGGCTCTTTGAGAAGCTCCCCCCTGGATGAAACCTTGCATGCAAAACCTGGGAAACGCCCACTTTTTTGTGCAGCCATCCGCACGATTGAGTTTCTCATTACTTTTTTCCGGAGAGATACTGTGTGGGGGTGTCTATAACTAAATCACGGAATGACATATGTAGCTAGCTAGTTATCACACCGAGATTGATGGATAAGGTAAAATGGGGGCGTAACACCAGCCTCGAAATTACGCTGCGCAAAACGCGAGGAAGATTTGTAAGCGCTTTGGTAGATAATCAAGTGAAGTAATTCACTTGTTTCTGAATAGCGAGTTATGTCCGTAGTGTCCGAAGTTACCCCCATTTTGCCTTAGCTAACAGCACAACAAATTAAACCTGCTGCCCTGGGTGTAATTTCACCAAAATTAACTCTGCAATCGAAGCGTACAGTTTCAAGGACGTACTATCAGCATACCAGGAGAGAAGTGATCCTGTTTCCCCTTGCGACTTAGCGGTCGCGGTGCACTTTCAGTGGGCGTTGCTCATCCATAAAAAGGGGGACGTTCCTCGATCGATCCCGCCCGCCGGCCAGGCACTCCCCCTAATAAACTGCGTCAGTGGCGGGCAAACGTGCCATTTGTATGCATAATTATTTAGAATTGCGCACAGCATTTTGGTGTAATATACCAAACAGCACTGTCTAAAATTGAGGAACTCGTCAAACGCGCACACTGCACTGACCGATACTGAATTTCCAACCCACGCGGAAAAATTCGACATTGGTAATGACAGTGATTTACCTACACTTGGTTGGACAAGGATAGCCCCCTCTATCCACCGGCTGCACCGCCCCCTCCGCCTCGCAGATACCCAGCAAAACAGAGGAGACCTCCAGACTATTACCACAATCAGATCTAAATCGGGGCGGAGATAGTGTAACCAGGCAGACAACAGAAGCTACATGACTCCGACCCACGCACCCCTGAACATTCCTCACCTGCCCCTGACTTACATTACCCACATGTTATCTGTTATCCTGTTCCCCTTTATAACTCGCCCCTTACACTCACACACTACAAAAGCACCTTGCTAAATTCATATGTGTGCTCGACCTGATATTAGTATTTCTCAGGAAGCTGTTGAACGTCGCAGATGCCACGCTACAGTTGTCTCGCCGCTGTCTGGTTTGGGAGCTCCCCCTGGATGAAACAAAACCTGGGAAACGCCCACTCTTTGTGCAGCCATCCGAGTTGCTCCGGACATGGGGGCGTAATACGAAGTGCCGTTTGTCTCAGAACTACTTTTTTTGGGTCAAGCCTAAACGTCGCGTGAATTTACGTAAATATCGCGAGAGTTTAGCTAAACCTCGTGTGATTATAGCAATCGTCGCACGACTTTAGGCAAACACCGCATGACTTTAGTTAAACTCTGCATGACTTTAGCATCCATCATTGCATTTAGCTAAACTGGCATTACTACAGCTAAAAACCCATGCATTTGGCTTGGTCGTCGACGTTAGCTAAATATCGAAGACGAATGAGTAATGCGAATAATCGACAACGGATGCAAAATCTGCAGAGTATAGCCCTAAAGTCATGCGCCGATTAGCTAAAGTCATGCGCTGATTAGCTAAAGTCATGCGGTGTTTGCCTAAAGTCGTGCGACGATTGCTAGGTTTAGCTAAACTCTCGCGATATTACGTAAATTCACGCGACGTTTAGGCTTGGTCCAAAAAAAGTACAAACGGCACTTCATAGCGTAACACCAGCCTCGAAATTACGCTGCGCGCGAGGAAGATATGGAAGTAATCAAGTGAAATACATCCGAATCTTTCTCTTGTTTCTGAATAGCGAGTTATGTCTGTTGTGTCCAACTTAGCTAACAGCACAACAAAGTAAACGTACTGCCCTGGGTGTAATTTTCACCAACACTCTGCAATGCACAGTTTCAAAGTACTATCAGCATACCAGTAGAGAAGTGATCCTGTTTCCCATTGCGACTTAGCGGTCACCGTGCACTTTCAGTGGACTTTGCTCGTCCATAAAGAAGGGGCGTTCCTCGATCGATCCCGCCGGCCAGGCACGCCCCCTAACAAACGCGGCAAACGCGCACTCTGACTGATACTGAATTTTCAACCCACGCGCAAAAATCGACGTTGGTAACGACAGTGACTTACCTACACCTCCAGCAGCACCCAATTAAATTGGGTGTTGCTGGAGGTGTAGGTTTTGCATCCCGCTCCTGGAATCCGGCTGCGGACACAGAAGTACACCATCACCGAATTTGAGACCCCTGGGGTGGTATGGGCTGTCAAACTCTTCCATCCATACATATGTACTCGGTCATTGCTGTATCGTTTTTACGGACAATGCAGCCTGTACATCACTGCTCACTGCCAAGAATCCATCTTCCAAGCTTGTTCGATGGGCCATGTAAATTCAGGAGCTCGACCTGGACATTCGTCACCGCTCAGGGAAGAGCAACCAAGTTCTGTCCAGAAACCCTATTGCCATTTCGCGAGTTCTGTTTCAGTCTGTCACAGCCGGTGGATCCGGTCCCAACAACACTACGACAACAAGTGAGACTGACCCCCTCATGCGGGGGCTCCAGAATCTGATGTAATAGGACACCTCCAACGGCAGGGTCACCGTGGTTTGAGGATGGACTGCTTCCTATTGATAACCAAACAGCACAACGGTTGGTGTTGGAACAAGACAACTTTCAACTAATGGATGGAGTACTCTACTACATCAGCCCTTCTGCCCCAGAACTGTGAGTGTCTTATATAGAATGACGTTGACGAAGGAACACCACGGTGGGAAGTTTGCAGATCACTGCAGAATGGAAGCTGCATGCAACATTGACCGGTCAATACTGGAGTTAAGGTATATATGAGGGCAGACGTGTGTCGCTTTTGCCGGAGTTGTTTAGTGTGTACCTCAAGGAAGGGTACTGGGTGGAAAACACGCCCACCACTAAAGTCGATCGCAGTTGGTGGCCCCTTTGAGATAATTGGGGTGTTGGGGTTGACGTACTGCAACTGCCGCTCTCATATTGTGGGAACCAGTACGCCGTGGTATTCCAAGACTATCTAACATAATGGCCAGAAATGTTTGCCGTGGAGGACCAGAAAGCTGATACCATCGCTCGTCTACTGGTGGAGCATGTAGTTGCACGACAGAGGGTCCACTTTCCTTTCACTTCTAGTCCAAGAGATGTGCAAGCTGTTGGGAACGACTAAGGTCATACCTCAGGCTATCACCGCAATGCGACAGACGAGTAGAGAAGTTTAATAGCACACTGATCAACATGCTTTCCAAAAGTGTCGCCAAGTACGGACGTGATTGGGATGTGCATCTATATACCCTATATACCTCGTATTTGCCTACAGGGTAGCTAGCAGTTACTGGCGCCTCGCCTTTCTATTATACTGTACAGTCACGAACCGGTACTTCCAACTTCACAAGCACTTACTCACCCTCGATCTGCTTATCAATAGGATTTCCAGGACTATGGAGCAGAGCTCGTAGCTCATTTGTCTGATGCCTAGCAGCCCGTGACAGCATCAAAGCCGCCCAAACAAAGCAGAAACGACAATGTGACAACCCAAAATCTGTGTCCAAGCTGAAAGTGAAGGATCGCGTATATAATGGTGCACTTTCCGAGTGCAGCACAAGGGAAGGCCTGGAAACTCGCCGACCATATTTTGGACCATATCGAATCATTTCCCTCACACCAACTAATGCCGAATGCAACTGGTAGACCAACCAGATGGAGAAACACTGTTTGTAGCACTTGATCGGGTTCAGACCCTGCTACAGTGAGATGTCTAATGAGGTATGGGTTGGATTTGGAAACAAGCTAAGAAAACAAGAAGATAGAAGACGACCCGGAATGTTGAATCTACCTTACCCTCTACTGGATACTGTGGACAATCCTGAAGCCGTATGGAGAACTGAACTATGTTACTTGATACTCATTTTGTTTATTCATTGCTTATACACATTATTCATTTGCACTCATCCTTATGTCATTCACTGTCTGAGGTCATACAATGCGTGAGCAAGCGGCTATCGAAGTGTGCTAGCGAGAACCCGCTATATAGCTGACAGTAGGCCGTTACACTAGACCTTGCGTAATGATAGTACCGACCCCGTTCACGTGCCAGGTTGGTAAAAAATAGCACTGCCTGTGCATATTATTCCAGTTGCATCAAAAGTAGCTCAATAGTATATACCTACCAAGCTTGGGGGTGATGCCAAAAGCTGTAAAGTTAGGTATAATATGCCTTTAGCTAGCCATAAGGGATAGATCATGCATAGTAGAAAATCACATGCAATTTCTAAGGGCTAGAGTAACCTCTCAGCGGATTGGTTGTCTCGCCGCTGGCTGTTTGGGAAGCTCTCCCTGAAAGCTTGCCATCGAGTTGCTCATTGCTTTTTTCCGGAGAGATACTCTGTGGGGGTGTCTATAACTATAGCTAGCTAGATATCAACACCGAGATTGATAGATAAGGTAAATGTAACACCAGCCTCGAAATTACGCTGCGCTTTGCAGGTAGCTATATAAAAGATTTGTAAGCGCTTTAGTAGATAGTAATCAAGTTAAATGTACCCGAATCTTTCTGAATAGCGAGTTATGTCCGTAGTGTCCGAAGTTACCCCCATTTTACCTTAGCTAACAGCACAGCAAAGTAAACCGGGTGTAATTTCACCAAATACTCTGCAATCGAAAGGTACGTACTATCAGCATACCAGGAGAGAAGTGATCCTGTTTCCCATTGCGACTTAGCGGTCGCGGTTCTCTTTCAGTGGGCTTTGCTCATCCATAAAAAAGGGGCGTTCCTCGATCGATCCCGCCCGCCAGGCACGCCCCCTAACAAACGCGGCACACTGTCACTGACTGATACATACTGAATTTCCGCGCAAAAATCGACATTGGTTTGGGTAATACAGAACATTAGGTACTGATAGAAAGTAGTAGAGACTCCACTTCTCAGTGACTTTTAGCTCTGGCCTTGTCCAAAGCTGTTTTTCCATCCTGCATTGTGAGATGTTCAGCAAAGAGAAGTTTGTAACCGTAGTGTGGCTGGAACCTAGTGTACAGTGATACACAAGCAATCATACCAGGTTTCTCTGTAAAAATTTGCTGAAATAAAATTTTTATATCAACAGAGTTCCCTGCAATACCATTATAATTATTACAGTTATGAAATGAACAGGCTAACCTGATCAGGAGTGTCAGTGGCTCCAGCTGCCAGCAGTAGTGCAACGATCTGTGAGTGACCATTCTCTGCTGCAAAGTGCAGTGCTGTGTTTCCAGTCTGTGGACCAAATTATACAGAGCACAGAATATCAGTTGGTTTTACAACAGGCTTTTGTGAATTAAGCTAGCTACATGACACTATCCCTATATTATATCTTTGTGTTATATAAGTTCACAAGTAAAGTTTACTGTGAGACAAAGATATAGGGATGGTGTCATGTAGCTTGGTGCATCTTAGCTGTGCAATGACCCCTTGTTTCTTCCTTTTTGGTGCTTCAAGCCATCCCTAGAAACTGCATGGATGACAGGTCAGAACCTTTTCCTGACAGTTAACGTTAGCTCCTAACTCCAACAGTCTCTGGACAGTCTCAGTATGTCCCTGACGAGCAGATATCCCCAGAGGAACACTGCCACACTGCATTACCATCAGGACAAGAGAAAAATATAGACTTAGTGTCTTGTGATTGCTCTTGTAAGTGTTCATTATATCTAGCATGGGGTGAAACCAAGAGTGCAAGCTGCCGGTATGTGCATAATTATTTATACAGAGAAGTGGGACTTGGGCTAGTATAAGAATGAACGTAACTCTCCAGGCTCACAGTAAAGGGCAGTTTCTGGCAAACCCTACCCCTCTTTGACTGTAATACACAAATGTACTACCCTTTTGCACTGGTTAGCTATTATTATTGCCTGTTGCTAAGGTGGTGCTAAGTTTATTCCGCAAAATAAACTGCCAACTGGGCTGTGGTTAGGGAGCAGGGAGATGTTGCAGGTGTCAATAACTGGTGTTGATTGGAAAGGAAATAGAATTCCTTGTGGCTAGGGCGATGCTGGCAGGTGTCAATAACTGTGTGTGAATGTTATTTAGTCAGTGTCTATAATACTGTGCTACAAATAGCACGACCTCTTTTTCGTTGGGATGGACTGACGTTTACCGCATGTCACCCGAGGGCAACGCAACTCTGAGAATCCGTGTGTTTTTCGGAAAAACATACTTCTTCGCGAGCGCTGCTTCGGCGCATTCGGCTAAGAACTACCACCGATGGGAGCATTCTGGAAGACTCGTAGGCGCTTACTCTTGGATGGAGGCGATCGGCGCTCCTTCCCCGCTGACCAAACTCGGCGGGCCGCTTCTACGTACCAGTCCGGTTTCTGTGTCTCGTCGGATGTGAACATCATGGCGGTGGGTCTAAATCAGTCAATCTTCCATCCAACCTTCCTCGAAAAAAGGTCGCCCTAGAACGAGCCACGCTGAGGCCGCAGACGCGAGGAGCATCACAGCGCTCGGCGCTCCGACACTTCTTCCTCGCCAGTGATAAAATTGCTGCTGGTTGTGACGTCACGTACCATAGTATACTGCTCCGGGCGTCTAATTGGCAACATGAAATGCATGCCTAGTCGGTATGTGCGTATGCAGCCCTCGCCGCGTAGCGGCTTGACTTGGCAGCAACATACCTCTAGGCATGCTATAACTAATACTTATTCACTGAACAAAAAGTCAAAGAAAAACGAAGATTCCTAAGACATGGGCATCGGGATAATTTATTACGCTGTGACATTGTTTACCTCAGTGGTGCCAGGTGGATGTCAGCTCCTGCCATGGACTAATAGCGTCCACTACATCTGTGTCGCCATTCTGGCTGGCTATATACATTGGACTGCAACCTCGAACCTGTATTAAGCATAAATTAAGGAAATTGCATAACCTGAAAATACAACAGTCACCTTGTTCTGGTGGTTGGGTTTGCTCCTGCCTCAACAGTCTCTGGACAGTGTCAGTATGTCCCTCCTCGGCAGCTATCTCCAGAGTAACCATTTCATACTGAGTCACATGACACACACATTATAATCAGACTCTTATCTATTATCCATTACTTCTGTATTTGCCTGGTGGATGTCAGCTCCTGCCTGACTAGTAGGTCCACTACATCTGTGTGGCCTTTCATGCTGGCTGCAAACACAGGGGTATAGCCTTCCTGCAGAGCTAAGTTAATATCACATTGAATTGGAATTAAAAACTGACCATTT